ATGAATAAATTAAACAACTTAGAATGAATGTATTGTTTTATTTTTACAGAAATTCACATTCTTCCACAACATAAGATTGCCTTGTCTATGGGTTGTGTTAGCTGAAGGGGTGGGAATAGAATGGCCAAACATTAGTTGACTTGAAAGGACAGAAGGAAAAGGCTTAAGATTTACCCTCTGGATATATCATATGTAGACGTAGGATTTGTTTGTTTGTTTGTTTGTTTGTTCATATTTGTATGCCACAATAATAAAAAAATGATTCTCAGTGGTTCCCATAGAAAAATACAATACAAATTCTACACAAAAATAAAATCACCACAGTAGAAGAACAGAAAGAAAATACAACGTGGCAACAACAACTCAAATTCTCCAACAAAGTGACAGTTGTTAGAAGCTTGGGGAAAACCAGCAAACAAGTCTGCCTGATCTCCACAGGGAGATCATTTAAAGGCAGTCCTCACTTTATGACCACAACTGGGACTGGAATATCTGTCATAGGACAGTGCAATCGCAAGTCACTTGGGAAACGATTTTACAACAACTTAATGGCATTATTTTTGCTGAATATCAGCAGAAAAGGTTGCGAATCCCGATCACTTGCATGTACATGCACACTGGTTGCCAAGCGTCCATATTGCAATCACGTGACAATGGGGGTGGTGTGACATACATAACTGGAAGTACAAGTTGTCAGTCACTTTTTTCCAAGGCTGTCATAACTTTGGCCCATCATTAAATGAACAATTGTAAGTTAAGGACTACCTACAGAACGATGTCCATGACAGAAAAGCAGTGTCTTCTTACCACAATCCCACAAACCTCCTAATTCCAAGGGTTTTGAGCAGTTTCTCCTTGCTAGATCTAATAGGTTTCTCTGAAGCTGGTTGGAGATTGGTTTCTTTGCTGACCAGGCACATCTTCTGCATCTATCTGACTCCATTCTTGCATTTCTAAGCTAGCAGTTCTCTATTATAATAATGAAATTAGCCAGCTCATTTGAAGATGCTAACCACGAATACTTTGCATTATTGGCCTTTCTCCTGAATATTAATGCCAATTAACCCTGAAGAAGACCAAATCAATAGTAAAACAATCAGGGACGGTGGTCATCAAAATGATATTACTGATGCCCTGATGTCTATCATTAAACATATGAAGATGCAAGCCCTCCACTGTAGCTATCTATACAATCTAACCTAAACAAATATTGATGGGCTTTTTTCAGAGCCCACTTCAACACTCTCTCCCATCAATTCTTCTGGCAGGAAGATTTAATTGGGACTTCTTATTTATAGAGACTTTTCCCTTGTGGATCCAGAGAGGTAGAAACTCACACTCATGTGCTCATATGGTGTCCATTTTATGATGCCCCAAGACATACTCCCATCATCCCAACCATTTACCTATAAGAAGGCCAGACTGATCAATTTTATGGTTATATCTAGGGGTGTGTTAACCCCACACCCACATATTGGGTGGCCAAATACCTTCACCAACTTATACAATTGCATAAAACTTTTAATTAGATATGTTGTTTTATTGCCTGTTTGTTTTTTCCATTTCTCAATAATAAATTGTTATGTCAAACTATCTCTTTTTTATGTAAAGGCTAGATAAAGATCATAATAAAGATATTTTATTTCATTGTTACATCAAACCCTCTCTTTTTTTACTGTAAAGACTAGACAAGGATCATAATAAAGAGTTTTGATTTTATTTACTGATAGATAATCGTGCTCAGCTATTATTCATTGATTTAAAGAGTTGGAACCAACTAAACAATAAGAATCCAAATCTTTCAAATTTCTGATTATCTGTTTTCTGGATCTAGGGTTGAGTTTCTGCATGAGTAGAAATGTAAAACTGTGCCTGAAATGTGACAGCAAGATTCGTTGTCCTATTCCAGGCCTGTGCTCTGGAGACCTGATCTTCTCACAGTCCTGTTGACTATGAATCAAATTGCTACTGCCTTAGTTCTGTATTAGAAATGTGGCTAGATGATTAACATAGATAATGAACCAACTGGTCCAGCAGGTGTGACAGAATTTGTCCCATCCAATGGCTATAGCACCACTCCCAGCCTTAGACTACCACTAGCAGCAATAACTGCTGTAACATGACAACTCTGGTGNTTCTTAGTTGTACAATAATATGCTGGCCCCTTATTCTGATATTAGCCAAGGGCAGCCTAAAGAAATGCAAAATCTTTTAGGCTTTGTAACTTATTATCTTGAAGAGAAGAAGATGAGTTGGCTATCAGTGGCTTTGAGCAGGCAGCCAGAGTGATGGCTATGGCCTTGCTCTTGCATACATTTCTGCTCACCTAGGCAATTGGATTGCATTTCAAACTCAGGAGTGAAAATATAGGATTGTCACATTGGGAGGAGCAAAAAATCTCCAGTGCTGGAACCTAAATTAAAGCATCCATGTCAGATACTTATCCAGCCTTTGTTTGAGCACATCCGGTGCTCTAGTTCTAGTGTTGGACAGCTCTTTCATACTGCTAGGGCTTCATTCTAACATTTAAAGTGATTTGCCTTCCTGAAATTTGTATCTATTATTTTATATGCTGAATCTCAAAATACTAGGGAATAAATATTCTTTAAGGACATCATACATTTTTAAATATGTGTATCATATCTTTCCTACAAAGCAGCATAGATTCAGAAAAAAATGACCCAAGAAGTAGAATAATCAGGTGAAAATATAATCCCAGGTATTTTTGACACTAGCCAATTCTAACACAGAAAGGTACTTTTGTTTACAAAATTAAGGCCATTGTCCATCTGCATGCAAACCATATATGTGATAATCAAACTTGACATGAGTCCTATAAGAAATTATGGCATGGTTCAGAACATCATGGTCTCAATGTTAGACATGTAATTTATACAGATATCTGACTCTGTAATTCAGCAGAGTATTACCTTGATTTTATGTTTTATGTTGAGTAGGATAACAGTAATGTGGTATGAAGGAAGTCTTCCTTTTCAGATCATCATGAATAGACCTCTACCAGATATTAGAAGTGTAGAATGATAGAATGGATGCTAACATATACAATATGGGCTAGTCCAACTATTGTCCCATTATGTCTTATTATCCATATGTTAATATGGTCTGAGAAGGGTGATACAATTTAGAGATGTGATTCTGAATTAAATATAAAAAAAATTGGACTCTACTATTATATCAGCAATTATGCTTTTTTAAGCCCAGAGAATAGCAGTACACATTACTTTTTTATAAAGAAAGACATTGTCATTCTGGAATTACACTCTTTCTTATTATGAATTCATATTCTGTTGGAGGCCTGATCAAAATTTCTCAGTGTGCTTAAGATTTAATATTCTGTTTAAAATCAAAGTGTTTTCTATATATATTATGTGGTTTGCCCTTTCTCTATTTTTTCTGTTTTTATTTTCTTTTTTGTAACTTTTTTCTTTCTATCTGTATATGAAAGTAAATACATGAATAAATTAAACAACTTAGAATGAAGGTGTTGTTTTGTTTTTACAGAAATTCACATTCTTCCACAACATAAGATTGCCTTGTCTATGGGTTGTGTTAGCTGAAGGGGTGGGAATAGAATGGCCAAACATTAGTTGACTTGAAAGGACAGAAGGAAAAGGCTTAAGATTTACCCTCTGGATATATCATATGTAGACGTAGGATTTGTTTGTTTGTTTGTTTGTTTGTTCATATTTGTATGCCACAATAATAAAAAAATGATTCTCAGTGGTTCCCATAGAAAAATACAATACAAATTCTACACAAAAATAAAATCACCACAGTAGAAGAACAGAAAGAAAATACAACGTGGCAACAACAACTCAAATTCTCCAACAAAGTGACAGTTGTTAGAAGCTTGCAGAAAACCAGCAAACAAGTCTGCCTGATCTCCACAGGGAGACCATTTAAAGGCAGTCCTCACTTTATGACCACAACTGGGACTAGAATATCTGTCATAGGACAGTGCAATTGCAAG